ATATATAAACCGACTGATCGATAATGAACAAAAACATTTTAAATTGTTCTAATTAACAAATGAAATGTAACTTTAAACCGGCCATATTCACCCAAAAAAAAAAATATAATAATAATCAAGCAGTCCGAACCGTGACAAATTATACAAGAGAGTTTTTATGTGTTTAACTTCAAGACAATAAAGAGTTGACATATATAGCAAGCTACTTATCGATCTGTGGAGTTAGTTATATCCAACAAAGAGTTAAACTGATTATTAATCAATTGCATACTTGATTAATAATTTAAAAGTAAAACCTCCCTAATTTGGCAGTAGTCCAACATAAATATTTTAGGTTGCGGAAATTAAGCTTAGGCTGTATTTGAAATTGATCTCATTTTTATTTTTTATGTTTTTTGAGAAATAAAAAATGAAAATGTTTTTAAAACGACGTTTGACTCAATAAATGTAAAAAGAGGAAATGAAAATGATTTTTTGGTTTAGAGTAAAATGAGAGAGAAATGAAAAACGACTTTTAGTCGTTTTTCATTTTTATGTTTTCGTTTTCTCCTCTCTCGAGTAGAGAGAAAAAGAGAGAGACATTAATGGGTTTTTTTATACTGAAAATATCTCTTGATAAAACTACAAAACACATTTTCAAAAGTGATTTCTGTCTAAGATTGAAAACATTTTCATTTTCATACAAAAAATAAAATCATTTTGGAACGAGTTCCAAACGCGCCCTAAATTTTTGCATGTGATTAGACTTTCTAATACTTTTCACTTCAGATATATATCCAATTAAACTAAATAATCAGTTTAATTGGAGAAAAATAAATAATAAACTTCATTGATCGTCTTGCAATGTTCTTTTATCAAATCATTATTAAAAAAAAAAAAAAAAAAAACCGGAATTAAAGTTACTAAGGTTTTTCCTCCTTGATTAAGGAAGATTTTGTATTACGTTAATTTAAATTAGTTGTTTCATTGATATCAACGTTATAGATCTTTATATCAACAGAGCTGTCAGAGCAAAAAACCTTACCTTTAGAGTTGTATTAATCGCATCCCTAAACATGAGGAAAAAAAGGGAAAAAGATGAGGAAAAAAAAAAAAAAAAGTATAGCATCCCTTTTTTGTTAGGTTGGTTGGTTTGTATCAATTGTTATTATCGTCCATCGCAATGTGTCCACAACTTGATAATAATACAGATGGATAATTCCTTTTTAATATAATAATAATAATAATAATAATAATTCAATAATAATAATAATAATAATATGACAGATTTCAATCTCTCTACTCCTAAAATTACACGACATTCTCTTGAAACAAATGTCACCATTAGTGAAAACAATTGTTTTTTGTGACATAATAAAGCTCATATATGTGATGCTAGGCCAAACATTGGAAGATAATAACTTATAAAATCTCATGGTAAATTACATTTAAAAATATGCAATACGGATGATGATTTGTTCCTCTATTTATTATGAACACAATATAAAAAAAATCATCTCGATCGGAATTAAAACGAAAAAGTTATGATATTTTTAAGTTAGAAATTGAAGAGAGAGAGAAAAGTAGAATCAAAACTATTTTCACTATAGAAAACAAATTGTTAGAATTTATGAGGTCGTGAATTCTAAAATCTAGGGATTTAAACTATTGTTAATCGTTTAAATTGTCCTCTATTAAAAATCAATTTGAATATCAACTACGTTTTGAATCCTAAACAATAATCCAGATGGTTAAAACAAACAGAATTAAGATCATTGTTATGTTAAATAAATTTCATGTTACGCTTTTTATTTTTAAGAAATAATATATATGTGTGTATATATGCAAACACTTACCACCAAAAAAAAATGCGTGTGGTCATATAAACCCATTTGGTGTTCCTTATGTAATTATAAAAAAAAAATAGAAATAAATAAAATGGAAAAGCACGAATCTCATCGAGTTAAAAATTAGATTTTATCAGATCTTAGTTAGAATCTAGTATACTATAAGTAAATAGAAAAATTTGTATATAAAAATACAAATAAATAAAATTATTTGTGTATATACACACCAATATCGATCTATTAGAGCATCTCTAACCATATTAAAGAGAAATTATCCGTTGGATAATGATGAATTGATTGTAAAAGATATTAGGAGTCTTATTTTTAGTTAATTGATTGTAGAAGATATTATGAGTCTTATTTTTTAGCTCCAAGAGTAGTTGTTGTTTTTTCCTTTCAGGATCGGGAAACAAAGTGACCCACACTATAGTGACTTTTGTCCTTTTTTTTTTTTTTTTTTTGTTTTATGATTGATGTTAGGGAGAAAGAGAAAAATAGGTCAAGACTTGAGATGAATTAAAATTAATAGGTCAATAGTTTACATAAGTTAATAAATATGCCAAATTACTGTTTTCGTCCATAACTTATCTGGTTATGAACCATAACTTGACAAGTTATTATCCATAACTTATCTGGTTATGAACCATAACTTGACAAGTTTGTCTATAACTTATCTGGTTATGAACCATAACTTGACAAATTATGACCTATTAATTTCTATAACTAAAAATTAGCCTATATACTTTCTTAAACTTTTCATACCGGCCTATTTCCTACTATTTCCGTTGATGTTATTCCCACCTTAATCTCTTCACCTTGTATTAACCAATCTTCCCCATTAATGAAATTCAGTTATTTCCCTAAAAAAAATGGAAAGAAGAAAAATAGAAATAAAAGCATGAAACATGTTCTCTTTTTATATTTTTATCTTATTCTTCTCATTTTTGTTTTTTAAATGAGGAAAATCGTGTTTTGGATAATAATAATAGAAAAAAAAAATGAAACGTGTTCTTAGGGGGAACAGCGAAAGTGCGGAATGGATTAGAATTCCAACTCATGGCCAAGCCGGTGCACATTCAGCAAGGATTGGTGACACTACGAACACCTTAACATCCGGCATTCAAAGTCAAAGCTGGAGGCAAACACGTAATTCCGCATTTAACAAGTCCCATTACTATCACGCCTTTGCCTCACCTAACCCCACAAAAATTCATCAACTCAAGTAACGTTGAATAACGATTGACTTTTGATTCACGTGTTTAAGTTAAAAATTTTAAATTTGAATTTAAGGAGACGTTTAGTTTATAAATTAGAATCATTTTTTATTTACATGTATATTTTATGAGAAAAAATACTTTAATAAATAATGAATCATGATTTAAATTATGATATGAATTTTCTTACTAAACGTATTTTAAATTTTGTAAAGAGGATTTATTGATGAAAATTTTTTTATTAAATTTTTTTTTGTAGAAAGAAATATTATAATAAAATTAAAATTATGAGTTTTTCATGAAACAACTAGATTCTACAAAAATTTAAAGTCTGTTTAGTTCGTTAATTTGAGTTTTTAATTTGAGTTGAGATGTGACTTTATGTGAGAGCTTTTTATTGTAACAAAAAAGTTAAATGTGACTGTTTTTTAAAATTTTGTAGTGTAACAAAACTCAAATTCTAGACTCAAATAGGTAAAATAAACGGAATCTTATTACCTTATTTGTTATTATTTTATTCATAATTCACGCGTGCCAACACTTTGGTTTGGGGCTGCAAATGCAGAAACAAATTCATTAACGTGCGTTCCAAGTCAAGTGGACTTCATGCCACTATTTTGGGGGGTTTAATAAATTTTTTCAACTATGATTTAACTAGGGTATTCAAATTAGGCAGTTACCCATTTGTTTTGATGTTGATTAACTTGGTTGATTTGACTGTAGTTTACTGTTTTTAATAATTTGTCTGTAAATATAAATATGCAAGTCCAAAATCACCTAATACTGCGTACTTTTACAAGAATCAAGAGCTGTGGAAATACCATGATCGATACGAAAGGCATTTTTTTCTCCCTTCAGTATACGTCGTCAGAAGAATTTTTTCGGTGAGGTATGAAGAATATTCTTAGCATCAATTTCGTATTATTTTAGGACTTGTTTAGCTTGCTGATTCGAGTTTATATGTGAGAATATTTTATTGTAGTAAAAAAATTAAATATGACTGTTTTTGAGAATTTTCTACTGTAATAAAACTCGAATTCTAAATTTAAATTAATAAAACAAATGGAGTCTTAGGCCTAGTTCACTTCGCGGATTCGAGTCGAGACGTGACATTTTGTGAGAACTTTTCACTGTAGCAGAAAAAGTTAGATGTGATATTTTTTAAAAATTTTTTACTGTAAAAATTTAAAACTGAAAACTCGATTGGTGAAATGAACGAGGCCTTAATATGTTATGATTTTGATGTGATTTGAAGATATGTGTGATTTTAATTTTGGTTATTTTTATGTTCACAAGGCACTTAACACGCACTTAAATGCAAGTTTATCAATTTTTTTTCATAGATTTATTTATCAGCATTAGACTCACCTTAACAGGCGCTTATCAATTATTATTATATTTTAAAACATCGATAACAGCATATCGAAACACGGAAAGAAAAAAGCTGGCCTGGGCAATTGGCAGACGGCAGCACCAGTAAATTTTTTTTTTCAATTTTTATATACGAGAAGGGTCAGAACTGTGTCGTTTTGTCCACGGCGGCTACTTGATCGTGCTGGTATGACCGGCTATCTCCGGTAAAAAAAAAAAAAAAAAAAAACCCCTCCCAGTTGGTTCCGTCATTCAGTTCGTGTTTCCTATCCTCTCTCTCTCTCGACCTCTCTCTCTATAAATAGAGACTCTTGTGGAAATGGATCTTTTTTTCTCCTCTCTCCATCATATATACTTGTCCGAACGCCGACATCTCTCCGGCGAAGTCGCCGACCACCGTCCGATCATCTCGCCGGCAAAATCTCCTCCCCCTACTACTTCCTCTTCTCCATTTCTGCTATCCGTGAGGTCAAACCTCTTCAGCTCTCCGACGCTTATTTTCCAGTTTTTCCTCGCGTAATCGTTTCATCATTCTGAAAAACGCACAGATCTGCTTTGTTTGGTTCATAGATTCACGAGTTTTCCCTTCGATTTCTGTTCTCGAATACTCTTCGTAATGGCTGATTTTCCCCAATCTTGATCTACTTTTGTGTACTCACATTTTTTTTTCTCTACTCTTGCGTAGATTTTCTTCCTTTTTTTTTTGTCCGAGTAAATGTGGTTTCGAGATTTTGTTAGAAAGTTACCAAATCAATAAGCTAATTCATTAATTAGAGTTTTCATCTTCAGTTTTTAACCCTTCTGTCTGTTTGTTCTTATCCGCTAGTTGACTTTTTAATATTACTCAAAATCTCCTTTTATAGACGTTAAATTTTGCTTAAAATATTTTTTAATTCCAGTAAAAATTTTTTTTTTCTTTATTTTATAATTTTTCAGAGTAGGTGATTGTTGTTGTAGTTTAGCTTTTAGTTAATTTATATACCAAACTTGTGCTTTATTTTTTTTCTTTTTTGGTTGTGAAACTTTGACAGATTTCTGGGTTGAAGGAGGAGAAATGGAAGGGACCAAAGAGACCGGGCTACGCAACGTGGGCTCGCATTGCTCAATCTCCGACAATGACGACTACGATCTGTCTCGGCTTCTGGACAAGCCAAGGCTCAACATTGAGAGGAAGAGGTCTTTTGACGAGAGGTCGCTCAGCGAGCTCTCCACTGGGCTGGGCAGGGTCACCCTTGATGGCTTGGACAGCGCCTACTCGCCCGGGGGCCGCTCCGGGTTCAACACGCCGGCGTCGTCCGCCCGCCACTCCTTCGAGCCCCACCCGATGGTCGGCGAGGCCTGGGAGGCCCTCCGCCGCTCTATGGTTTACTTCCGGGGCCAGCCGGTTGGCACCATTGGTGCCGGCGACCATGCCTCCGAGGACGTCTTGAACTATGATCAGGTGAAGCTTTGGGCCCTTATGTTTTTTATTTTTAAATTTTGTGGAGATTTTGTGGACAAAGAAAGAGTTTGAGCAAATGGGGTCATGGGTATTTGCTATTTAATTTAGGAGCCCAGAAGTTCTTTCTATTAGCAGTTTTGTTGGTATTTACGGATTAAGTTTTATTGTTCATTAGGTTGAAGATCTTAATAGAGCAAGTATAACCCATCTTTTATTTGGGGATAAACTGGTGGCATCCTCTAAGATCCCATGATATTCGTTTAGATTTATATGGGTATTGATTTTTGCATTTAATCCAAGTTACATGGATGCATGTTTCACATAACATTGTATGGTGGGTTACCTGATGAAAGGACTGATATCTTGGACATAATTGTTTGTTCTTTTTTTTTTTTTAGGTTTTTGTACGGGATTTCGTACCGAGTGCTCTGGCTTTTCTAATGAATGGTGAACCAGAGATAGTGAAGAACTTCCTGTAGTGAAGAACTTCCGGCTGAAGACGCTGCTGCTTCAAGGGTGGGAGAAGAGAGTAGATCGGTTCAAGCTTGGGGAAGGTGTAATGCCGGCTAGCTTTAAAGTTCTTCATGATCCTATCCGGAAAACAGATACCGTTGTTGCAGATTTTGGTGAGAGTGCAATTGGAAGAGTTGCTCCTGTTGACTCTGGTTTCTGGTGGATTATTTTGCTGCGTGCATATACGAAGTCAACTGGGGATTTATCCCTGGCAGAAACACCCGAGTGTCAAAAGGGAATGAGGCTTATATTGACTCTCTGTCTGTCAGAGGGATTTGATACATTCCCAACTTTGCTTTGTGCCGATGGATGCTCGATGATTGATCGAAGAATGGTAAGATTTCTTGAACTTATCATTCTTTGTGATCTTTCTTTATATGCATATCATAATCTTTGTAGTGTGTTACTTGGTCTGGCAAGCTCCCTACTCAGACTCAGGCATAGATATTTGATGTCTCAGACTCTCAGCAGCCAGTTATTGGTGCAACTGAGGATAACTTGAGTAGCTCCGAGCTGATAGGGCTTCCTTGTTAACATTCTTTTATTCGTTGCAGTATGAAATTTCTTCTAAAGTCAAAACAGAAATAGATAATCTTTCATTGGCATGGAGCATTAGTTTTTGCATATGATGTCATTTATATTTCTAATAAGTGCTCTGTGAACACCTGATTGATGCTTGGCTTTCAGGAGACTTGTTTGAACACGTCTAGAATTCATCAATGTGGAAATTTGGAGGAGAATGTTTAGGTTTAAAATTATTTAGTTTCTTAATCTAACAAATTAGGTGGCAAGATTTATATTTCCCCTTACTGTTGCTTTTTTTGTTTTTGTTTTTTAAGATTCATTTCACATAGAACGTAATGATTTTTTATAAATGTTTTAGGATGCTGCAAAAAGAAGGGCAATTTTTATTTTTCTTTGCTTTCAGTTGTTACAGAAATTGGAAGACTGTCAAGCCTCATAAAAGGCTAAATGCATATCTCCAGGAACCCTATGTTTTTCTTTTTTCCACCCCCTCCCACTCCTAAATGACTTTGGTAGCTGGTTATTCTTATTAACGTTTGAGTTTGAATTTTATCCTTTTGTCATACTAATGGAATTTAATTCTAGCTAAAGAGGAATTATATTTGAAATGAGACTTCTTTATTACCAAATTTTCATACTAGGCTTTAGCACTATAAACAGCCAGTCTTTGCAAGAGATCAATGAATAACTTTCTTTAAAAGAACTTTTTTATCTTCTCATTCATTATAGATAGTAGGTAATGAATTTTGTATGCGATGTTCCTATAGGGTAAGGTTGTCTTGATGAGATTCCTAGAGGTTTTTCTTAATCTTCATGTGAGGTTCTTTTCAATATCTAAGTGAGCTTCCTAGGAGAGTATTTTGAGATTTGTAGGAACATTTTATTTTAACTGTATCAACACCTAAGTCCAATTTCATCTATAACTAGGCAGGTTCATATATTAGCCGCTACAAATCTCATTCTAAAGAATCAACTTACTTCACAAACCATTTAGCTTTTCCCTCCATCTAATTCTGAGAAGTCAACTTCTTACTCTGTCCTAAAATGATTTAGGCGTTGTGTTGAAAACCATTTCTGGAGCCTCTGGTTTTGTTTTATTTCAATTATAGGTCATGAAGCAGCTACAAATCCTTCTGATTAGCAATATACACTCAATTTTAAATTGATAGTCCAAATGTAGTGGTGTCAAGCACTCGCTTGTACGTGGTTGTCATAAATCAAAGACTGATAAGTGCGTCTGACTGGATTTTATTATTGTGCAATTCTGTCTTTGTCTGACTGGATTTTCGTATTGTGCAATTCCGTCTTTGCTTACAATATCAATGGATAACCCAATGTTGTCTATGGAAGTTTTTCATTTTTGGCTTGGTTTGTTTTTATTTCTTATTATAGTCCTTGTTTATTAAAAACAAACACTCCAGCATGCTTGGTAAAAACGTAGAACTTGATTTAGCTTTTTACATTGATTATCTTAGAGCACAACATATTTTTTGCTTTCACTCACAAATCTCTCTTTCCATTTTTACGTTCTTGAGGCCATTCTTCGTGTTGGAAGGTCAACAAGATTGACAAGGCAGAAATTTGTACTATATGCAGAAGAATTTCACTCTGAACTTCAATTGTGACTCGCTAAGGAAATGATAGTTCACTAATAGCTGAGAAGTGAGGCCTAAAAGATGAAGCTGCATTGACTTATGGATTTTATATTTAGTGTTTCACCAAGTTATCTGCTTTCATTTTCTCCTCAATAATCCTTTCCTTGGATCCTGATAGTGATTGTGCTTAAGTGACAAGGATGCTTCTGTAAACTTTCTTGGCAAGTTAATGGGTTTCAAATATAAGTTTTATCCTACAAATCTTCGTTGCTTGTTTGCGAAAGTTTTCTTGTTTGGTGCTCTTTGGATGACATGTTTTTTATATATAAGTCCCTAGTCCGTGTGTTTGTCTCTGATCAATGACTACCAAGATTTTCTTTCTCGAAAACTAAATACATTGTTTGCCGTTTCAAAGAAACTTTTGAGTAGAATACCACTGACTTGGATTCATTCTTTTAGAAATAGTTTTAACTGTTAAACCTTTTTAGATGGTTCTGTGAATATATCTCCTTTTTGTGACAATCAAATTTTGTCACATGTGGGACTTTACTGTATGCTTGACAGGATAGAATCCCTCAAACATTGTCCTAAGCTTTATTAGCAGATACCATGGCTTGAATCTTCTGGGAAGTAGATTAATTGTCTGTTTATCTCCTATTGAGTGGAGAAAATATTTTCAGTGATTGCCTAAAGGATGTGGGATGGCCAGGGGGAACGTTTGCTCTCTGTTGGAAGAGTTTTGAAAAGGTTGTAGATTTTAGGATTGGTTTGGGATTAATGTTTTGTTTTGATGATTCCCTAGGGCTAGATAAAGCTCACTTTATCCACAAAACCAGCTCTTATTCTGTCATCTATTTTTAGTGAAAATTTGTCATCTATGTTAGTTCTATTTTATTTTCTTTCTGCTTCCTTTATATTGACATAGCAAATAGCATATCTCAAAACATAAAACTGATTTGTGAGCAAAGTTCTGTTTAACGAGTAACCAGTATATGCTCTGGAGTCGCTTGTTTTGCATATTTGACCAATTGTTTTTAAGGAAACAGAGAAAAGAGTACAAAAAGGATGATAAGTGTTGTTATGCATTACTGACAACATTAAATTGTATATCTACTTATTAATGGGGTAATATCTTTCTATCTTTCTCTTGTATTTCATGAGTATCAATTATTCAAATTTTTAATAATTGAATGACTTTGGTTTTCAGGGTATTTATGGTTATCCTATTGAAATTCAAGCTCTTTTCTTTATGGCATTGAGATGTGCTTTGCAATTGCTAAAGCATGACACAGAAGGAAAAGAATGTATAGAGCGAATTGTCAAGCGTTTGCATGCTTTAAGTTATCACATGCGAAGTTACTTCTGGCTCGACTTCCAACAATTAAATGACATATATCGTTACAAGACCGAGGAGTATTCTCACACAGCAGTAAATAAGTTTAATGTGATTCCTGACTCGATCCCATATTGGGTATTTGACTTTATGCCAACACGTGGTGGATACTTTATTGGCAATGTCAGTCCGGCAAGGATGGATTTTCGATGGTTCTGTTTGGGTAACTGTGTTGCAATTCTGTCTTCCCTTGCTACTCCAGAGCAATCAATGGCTATCATGGATCTCATTGAAGAACGTTGGGAAGAGTTGGTTGGGGAGATGCCTTTGAAAATATCTTATCCTGCGATTGAAAGTCATGAATGGCGGATTGTAACTGGTTGTGATCCAAAGAATACCAGATGGAGCTACCACAATGGAGGATCTTGGCCAGGTATCCTCTTTCTTCCATCACTTTTCCATATGATTTCTTTTGATAATAACAGGATGAAGTTCATAATTGTTAAACAAGAAGGGAAGTTTATTCATCGGTGTGCGGCTGAGACTATAGATAACACTGATTTTTTTTTTTTTAATGTGAATTGACATTAAGTTGACAGACAAACTCATAGTAACTGGTTTGCAAGTTCTTATTTGTTAGAGAACATTTTATCTTTCAGATTATTAAACCTTTCAATTAGGATTTCGGTAACAATGCAAGTGTACTAGATAGAAACAAAGCGTTTTTCAAAATATGACACGTCAGCTAAACGTTTATTCTCTGCTACAAAATCCTGAATCATAGTTGTCTTTTCAAGGACTTCATTCTTGCATTATTGCACGTGCTCTCCTTTTCTTTACGTTTGTGTGGACTTCTTGTCCTCACTTTTCTTTGTAATCGACTTTCATCAATGAAAGGTTGATTCTTATTATTTAAAAAAAAAAAAGAAGAAGAAGAAGAAGAAAAAGAAAAGAAAATCTTTCCAATCAGGTAATAATTGCATTATCACATGGGTTGTCCGATAAAAGTTTTGCCCATATATTTGTTCATGTTTTGGGCTAAGGGTTTAAGAAATTGCCCTTGGGAAGTCCTATTGACTGGTGGACTCTCAGGGGATAGTTTTGTACGAGAACCCTGACGGACTTGGCAAGTTTGGCTTGAGTTTGTATTTGGTTGCATATATGCCTGCTGTTATACATTTTTAAGTATCATTTCAATATTCATCTAGCATAATATTGGTTATATTTTCTGTAGTTGTCCAAATTGTACTGCAAAAGACAATTTACTCCCCTTTCTAGATAGTGGGATTCTTCCTCCCAAACAACTTGACCTTGTATTCCTCTTTTCTTATTGCACTTGTTTTTTCTTTATCCTTTTTACTGTTTGTATTACATTGAATTCTAAGTTCCCTTTCATCCTTTGTTTCTCTGTGTTACTAGAATTTAGAATTGTAGAATCCAGAAGCATCAGTAACTATCACTTAAAATGTCAATAAAATCTGTGTATGATTTTAGTAAAGAATCATGACCCTTTTGCAATATTTCTCTTCTCATTTCGATTGCAGTGCTTTTGTGGCTTCTAACGGCCGCTTGCATTAAAACGGGGCGGCCACAAATTGCAAGAAGAGCTATCGAGCTTGCCGAGAGTCGATTGCAGAAGGACAGCTGGCCAGAATATTATGACGGAAAACTTGGTAGATATGTGGGTAAGCAGGCAAGGAAACAACAAACATGGTCAATTGCAGGGTATTTGGTGGCAAAGATGATGCTAGAGGATCCTTCGCATTTGGGGATGATCTCCCATGAAGAGGACAAACAGATGAAGCCACTTATTAAGAGATCAGCGTCTTGGACTTGCTGATAAAGTCGATCAAGTACGTTAAAATAGTGAAGAAGAATTTGAGAAAACCAAAGGGTGAGCAATCTTTTCAATACAAGAGTACTATTCTTTTTGTGGTTTGTCCTTGCACTTTTAAGGTTTGGTATTGTGTACAATAGTACCTGCCATGCGGAGACTACTTTTTTCTCTTCAAATAAAAGATATGTTTGAGACACGCTTTGATTATTTCCGTCTCAAGACTGTGACAGCAATATGCAAATGGCATTGCTGATCAATAACTTTTGTTATTTGCTCCTTATTCTTACTTTGATGCAAAATAGACTGATTTTATTGGATAGACTTTTGAGTTAAATTTTTGCTGCCTTTTTTTTTTCTTTATTATGGATCTATGCAAGTAATTTGTCCCTTGTAAATTTGTATGCGCTCTTTAATAACCAAAGTACATTTGACAAAACGATAACTAATGCTATTGTTTGGTAGAAGAGAAAAGTGAAAAAGAAAAAACCGAGGGAAGTGTACTTGGATGAGAATGATAGTGTACCTTGTTTGATAAGAAGGAAAAGAGGAGGAAAGAGAAAATGTAGTGGATAAAAGTTGTGGTGGGTCTCATCATTTTACTCATTGTAGTGTTGGATGGATTTTTGAGTGAAAAGCTTGAAACATAATGATAACGAGAATTACTTTTTTGTCCTTATTTGCAAAATAACATAATATATGTAGACAGATAAAATAGTAACTGTAAAATCTCTCTTTTTTTTTTCTTTCTTATCTGCTAAACTACTCAAGGGAAAACTAACACCCTTCCTATCATCTTAATTTTCCATCTTATACATATTTTCTTTCCATTTTAATAGGAATTAAGTGTCCTTTTAGTTACTTTTTAACTTTTTGCTAAGAAGTGTCCTTAGTTACTCTAGCTTGCTCAAGGTTTTGTTGGTAGCTTGAATGATGTAGTGGAAGCTTAACTAAATCATAATAATAATAATAATAATAATAATAATAATAATAAAAATAATAATAAAAATAAACATAGGGATTAATTACGAAAATTCCTCTCAAATTATGATTCTTCTAAAAGTGTACTCCTAAATTTTTATTCGTATTATCCGTCCCCACCCCCCGATCTTTATTACGTTAATAAATTTGTCTCTTATATTACTTTAAATGACGGAAACAAGCACGCAAGTGGCTCATAACTCAAAAAATGAAGGATGTTACCATAAAATGTGTTCGTGACTGCCACATTTGAATGCGAATAAACCTTCATTTTCTTTATCAATTAGTTTACTCACAATTAGCATTCCTTTCTTTTTTTCTTTAGATTTTATATGTTTTTCCATAGCATAGAAATTTCAAACATTATAACTTGGCAAAATTATAGCTATAATGAGTTAACGGAATATCTTTTATGGATATCATATCCTCTAATGCCCATCACCGGTCTCAGTATATATATCTTACACACCACCATAATATTTTCGGGTTGTTTTGTCATACTTTTGCACGGTAGTGTGTGGGGACAAGTTTTAATGAGAAATAAAACGGTAGCGTTTTAAAGAAAGGAGAAAGAGAAAAATAAGTCAAGACTTGAGATGAATTAAAATTAATAAGTCAATAGTTTACATAAGTTAATTAATAGGCTAAATTACTGTTTTCGTCCATAATTTGTCTGGTTATGAACCATAACTTGACAAGTTATTGTTCATAATTCACGGGTTTTGTCCATAACTTGTCTTGTTATGAACCATAACTTGACAAGTTTGTCCATAACTTATCTGGTTATGAACCATAACTTAATAAGTTATGGCCTATTAATTTTTATAACTAAAAATTGGTATATATATTTTCTTAAGTTTTTCATATTGACCTATTTTCTACTATTTTCCTTTAAAGAATATGAAATGATAGCGCTACCTCATAATAAATAAAATGCGTTCAAGACAGAATGAAGGCAAAACGAGTCCTAGACATCAAGAACAGAACGAGAAATAAAGAACAAGGTAGAAATTGCAACATAACATTAGACGGTTAATAATGAGCATTTGTACACTTTATATCTGACTTGAGAAATAATAAAAATTAGACTTTGAGACTTATTCAATTCTTCAGTCCAATTAAATGAAGTATATTGTTGTTTATTGTTTGAGCATTTCTACACACAAACACAGTGTGTAATTGGGATATAAAGTGAATATTGCAACATTGCTTAAACTCCCCTGCCATTGAGGTCAAATTATACTATGTTTTAATGATATTTTATTTTTGAGTTATCGATACTGTTAGTTCTTAAATTTTAAGTATTGTAATGTTTTTTAATTTTTACATATTAGTCTTTAAAGTTTTACTTACGCTCAATTAACGCAAGTTTAGAACATATTAAACTTTACGTGCCATTATAAGAAAATAAGTAAAATTTGGGATGTTTTTAACTTAATTTACATGTGTTCTAAGAACGGAATTGCTCTTTATCTTACAGAAATCTTTTTTTTTTCCTTCCTTTTTTTTAAATAATAGAAGCATAGGACAAAAATTTCAGGTGATTAAATAAGACATTGTTTTTTTTTTTAAACGGAAAAAGTATTTCATTAAATTGAATACATCAATACAAATGAACTCTAATTACATGAGATACTACTCTCAACTTCAATCTGCTCCATCAGTAAACTCTAGTGAAGCCGGAGAAGAAAGACTTGTACTGAGACCTGACGACGGGAAAATTTCTCAGTACACTGATAATAAAGCACATGTAAGGCTCGTTTTAACAAGATCTCTACAATTAATAGAGACATCTAATCGATTGAGAACACATAACATGTAGTGAAGTTGCCACCACTAACTCCACATAAAAATAAATTTAATGGAAGGACATACTCGCCATCACTCAAATGTGGCGGAACAACAGACTCGGGAGGTAGTTGAACCACACTGCCACCAACACTAAAAACCCCACAAAAAAGTGAGTCGGATACCTAAGAGCCCGTTTGGTTGAATGATTTGTTCTTTGATTCGAATCATAGTTCATAGTTCGCTACAGTATTTTTTCTCATAAAAAATACACGTAAATCAAAAATAGTTTTAATCTCATGATTCTAATCTAAGAACCAAACGGACTCTAAAATTGGTGGCCGGGAGTCCAACAACGCACCCGAAGGCGGCCCGGAACTCCGGTCAGATGTGCACCACTTTCTCTCTCTCTCTCTATAAGACAATTGTTTTTTTTTCCTTTTTTTCGTGGAGTTAATCAGACATTTTAACTTGAGATATTGTAAAAACGTTTTCAAATTTTGTCTAAAATTAAGAGGCATGCACACCCATAATCTAACCGAAGCCACTGACCGTTATTCTATATTCTATTTATATAAATAATAACGTAATAATGACAAAAACCGGAACTGGAAGAACATTCTAGAATCTGTATTGTATGCATCTCAAAACATCCGACGGGGGAAAATGTGTGAAGATTTTTCTCGTTCTCTCTCGTTCGTTGCTCAATTCATAAATCTCACGTTTACAATAACATAAGAAAAACAAACAAAATAAAATTTGAAAGAATACTAACAACTAGCATAATCGAGATTCGGAGATCCATTGATTTGATTCGAAGAAATGGCGGCTTCTGAGAGAGCGGAGGTTAGGGAAATGGAATCGGAGAAGGAAATCGCATTGAATTTTCCGGCGGAAGATGGCGGCGGAATCGAAACGGCGTCGTCTCCTTCTTCTCCTGTAAAGCTTCCTTGGAGGCTCAGACGCCGTCTTCTTGTCTCCAAAGCACCAATTACTGCCGAAGACATCGAATCCAAGCTCTCCCAAGCTCGTCTTCGCCGACAGGTTGCTTTCTCTTTTTTCCTTTTCCTCTAATTTCAATGTGTGTGTGTGTGTGTCTGAATTGTTTTCTTTTTCTTTTTCCGGTGCTCGGTGAGAGAATTGTTCATAAGAAAGTTGTGCATGCGTCGTTCAATTCATTATTGGTGTTTCATTATAATTATTGTTTGTTTTCTTATTTTATTTTTTGAGTTGTTTTGTGCAATGGAATTCAGTTCAACGTAATTGGATCATAGTAGTGCTTTGTTGTTCAATTTCAAATTTGGTTTTTTTTTCCTCCTTTGTGTGTTTGTGTTAGGGAATTTTAGCGGATGATAGTTGAATTTGATTGTGATTTCTGCAGCAATTCTACGAGCTGTGGTCTAGTAAGGCGCGAGCAAAGGCAAAAGGTCCGTCATGGCACCCGTCGCAGGAGGAAGATCTTGGTAAGCGGCTTGAAGCAAAACTTAGTGCTGCTGAACAGAAAAGGTAAGATTTAGAGTAATTTGAATAGATGGAAGTCTCTACGTTGCGTTCTTTGATATGCATTGATCTTCACTTGAATTCTTTATGAATATTGCAATTTTCATGTTTCTTATACGTTAAAATTCAAAAATCCTATGTGAATGATCTCTACTGAAACATGAAATGGGAATTAAGGACATTTTTGTTTAACTTTAAACACAAATCAAGCTTAGTTCTTGAATGAGAAAAGCTTGATTCTTGAGTCTGTAGAGAATAGAGATGAACTATACTCTGGAATTATGGCGATATAAAGCTTAGTTCTTGAATGAGAAAAGCTTAATAACTTTTTCTTCATACAACTATGTACAAGACTTCTCCGTTCTCACTTAATAACAAAACTTCCTAATCAGATTAACCTTCTTCAGTGTTCATATTATAGAGCTAGCAGCTTCTAAGACTAGAGTTATGCTAAATGACTGTGATTGAACAAATAGAGTGAGTTCCTTGTAATGTTTACTCATTTTTTTTTCTTTCTAAATGGTACCAACAGGTTAAGCATTCTAGAAAAGGCGCAGACACGACTGGCCAGGTTGGACGAGCTGCGACAAGCCGCAAAAGCTGGGGTAGAGACACGATTTGAGAAGGAAAAAGATGAGCTTGGTGCAAAAGTCCAGTTACGGGCTAAGCAAGCGGAGGAAAATAGGATGCGTCTCCTTAAAGCTTGCTCACAATGGAGAGCAGCAAGAAGAGACAGAGCAATCCAGTCATTAATGCAAAGAAGGATTAAGGAGAGAAAATATAAAGATTGTATTCACGCTGCTATCTGTCAAAAACGTGTTGCTGCTGAGAGAAAAAGATCAAAGTTGTTGGAGGAAGAGAAGGCTAGGGCATGTGCTAGAATACAACAAGTACGACGGGCAGTAAAGTCTGCCCATAGTCAACAGGAGATTGAGAGAATAAAAATGAAAGATAAATTGGAAGACAGGCTCCTGAGGGTATGTTTGTTTTTGGTGTAAACTAATGTTTCATATAGAATTTGTTCTTTTGTTCTTATATCTTTATTTTGAATATCAAGCAGGCTAATAAACAAAGGAAAGAATATTTGAAGCTGCAGAGAAGTTCGCATCATTCAGTTCAGACCATCTCAAAAATGGTTCAAGAGCAGGAGGCTCTTTCTAAGATAGCGAGGTGCGTATGTGATTTTCACCTTTTTTAGCATTGTACTACTAAGATTGCAGGCAATGGTAAATTTTTCGTAGCAGCAACAGAAATATGATCTAGATGGAAGTAAAGTGGTCTTCCATTGTGATTGGCTTAGAATTGCCATCTGTAGCCATGTCTGAATGGTTATAATATTTTTTGTTCTTTTTTTTTCTCTGACTTTATTTTATTTTTATTTTTTTTTGCTTTGAATATTTTTTGTTCTTTTGTGTGTGTTTGTACTTCTTTCTCTTTGGGCTATCAGATGCTGGAGGTGGTTTGTGCATCTTCGGAAAACTACTTTTGCCTTGGCAAAAGCTTTTGAAGCCTTGGCAATTAGTGAAGAATCTGCGAAATCAATGTCATTTGAGCAGCTTGCCCTTCAAATTGCATCAGCTACAACTATCCAAACTACAAAAGCCTTAGTTGCCCGTCTAGAAAGTCGGTATTTGATCTCACGGGCTGCTACTGACAGTCTCTCTAGCCTAGAAAATATTGATCACCTTCTTAGATGTGTTGCTTCAACAGTTAGAAAGGGAAATTCAAACACCAGTACGAAGAAGAAGGTATCTGGGGATAATCATTCTGGTAAAGAAGCCCCGAGACGTCCAGTTGTGTTGTCAAGGTATCCAGCAAGAGTTTTTCTCTCTGCATATATGATCTTGGGACAACCAGATGCAGTATTTAATAGGAGAGCAGAGTGTGAGAACACTCTGCCTCAGTCTGCAGCTAATTTTGTTCAAGAATTTGAGCTGTTACTAAGGATCATAATCCATGGGCCCATTCATTCTTCCCAGCAAGAATCAGCTCCGTCAAGTCCAAGTAAAATTACTCTCCGATCCCAGCTAGAAGCCTTTGATAAAGCATGGTGCTCTTACCTGTTGCGTTTTGTAGAGTGGAAAGACAGCGATGCTAGGTTGTTAGAGGATTTGAAGAGAGCAGCAAGCCAACTGGAACTTTCTATGATGCAAGCTAACAGAATTACTCTAGAAGAAGATGTTAATGGTCCCACACGTGCAATGAAGGCTTTCCAACGGCAGGTATTTTAGTTCAATTGTCCGCTCTTGGGGTGTGTGTATATATATATATATATATTCCCCTATTAATAATCCCTACTCTCTCATGAGCTATTTTATCATGGATTTATCTTGGTGATTGCAGGTTACAGAAAATCAGAAACTACTAAAGGATAAATTGCAGCACCTAAGTGGTAATCCAGGACTTGAAGGCATGGAAACTGCTCTCTCTGCGACGCATTCCAGATATATTGAATCCAAGGACTCTGCTTGTTTGCCGGCATCCCCAGCTGCACTTAACTCATCTTCATCCCCAGTTTCCGGATCTGCTGGAACACGTGAACTGAGTAACACCTATCAGAGTTCTAGTCAAAAGATTCGTGCTTCATTTGACAAAGATGAAACTGACCATGGTGAAGAAGTAGGGTCATTTTTGTCTTTCAAAACTGATGCAAGTGGTCATCCGAATCCTGCTGCATTGGTAGTTGGTGAAAATGAACTTCTTGTAAATGATATTGTCCATGAGCATCACCATGGTTTTGCTGATAGATTGAATGGCAAAGACGAAAGCCATAACAGTCTTGAGGTTGGTACGAACTACCTTCAAATTTCGAACTGTTAAGCAATTAGCGCATAGGCTATGCAATATACAGATAAAAATATCTTTATAGTCGCTCAATTTTGCTGTGCAGGAGAAAGTGAGAGAGACAATGGACAAAGCTTTTTGGGATGGCGTCATGGACTCTATGAAAGAAAATGATTCAGACTTCAGCTGGATTCTTAAACTTGTTACAGAAGTCAGAGATGAACTACGTGATATATCTCAATCTTGGAAACAAGAAATTTCTGAAAGCATTGACATTGACATTCTCTCACAGGTAACTTGTCAACGAACTATTCCATTTAATGGCCATTTGCTCCTATAGCTTGGTACTAAAGTTCTGAATATTATGTGTCTAACGATTCTCCTTTTCCATTTTCATAAAGGTGCTGAGATCAGGCCATCTAGATATGGATTATTTTGGAAAGATCCTGGAATTTGCTTTAGCAACTTTGCGGAAACTTGCTGCACCAGCTAATGAAGATGATTTGAAGACTACTCACTATAAGTTTTTGAAAGAACTTGGAGAGATTCTTCAAGCTGAAGAATCAAAAACTTCACGTGCCCTTGCAATAACCAAGGGTCTGCACTTTGTTTTGCAGCAGATTCAGGTATGTTTTCAGTATGAAGGTCTTAAGATTCTTCTTCTGGATTAAGGATATGATAAAAAAAAAAAAAAAAAAAGCACAGTAAAAAGTGCTTTTTATGATTCAATGATCCGAATCTTCCGTCTTTCCTGTTATCAAGCATATAGCTCTATATAATGAGGTTTCAAATGCACAGATTCGAGCCAAAAGTAATTGGTTTAACAATATTATAGGGGTGTCTCCTATTTTACTTCTTTAGTTAAACCTTTCTTTATTGCAAATATTATGTCTTTCCCTTGAGGCATGTAGATGGGCTGCAGATTATCTAATTTGGAATCTAAGGTTTACATTTAGAACTATGTGAGCTTTTTTATTCTCAAAGTAAAATTTTATATATATATATATATGTATATTTCACATCTCCCAACCAGTTCATTAGATGGATACTAGTGAGAGGGATATTCTTTGGATCTTCATTTTGTCAGATGAACGATTCTGCATAGATCTCGCTACTCTTGAGTGTTCCTTGTTGCCATGTTGCATCTTCTCTTTCCTTATTTTTGTTCCTGTTTATACCTTTTTAAGTCTTTAATTTCAGTACTAGAATCCTTCAACAAGTCTAATGAAAAAGTAAAAGCAGTTCTTGCATTTCTGTTTGATAAACTTTGCTCCATATATTCAAGCAGGGTCTTAAGAGGGAGATCAACAAAGCACGTTTGAGGATGGTAGAACCACTCATCAAGAGCACCGCTGGTTTAGAATACTTGAAAAAAGCTTTTTCCTATAGGCATGGATCTCCTAGTCACGCCTTTACCTCTCTTCCAATTACAAGGCGATGGCTTTCATCTGTGAAGACAGTGGCAGAGGAGGAGTGGCATGAATATGTAGATTCTTTATCTTCTGTGACAAGCGATGAGCATTCATCAGGGCTTCCACCTACAACTCTTCGGACTGGAGGCAGAATTTTAGTCGGAACCAAAATTAGCTCCCAAACATCCTCTACAACTGACACAATTGGTAACTTTTTCAAATATATCTCATGGAGAAAAGGAAATATATAAATATATGTATGTATTGGTATAGTAATGCTGATTTCTTGAATTTGGTTTTGTCAGATGCGTCTTCACCAGGGAAAAAACTACCAGAATGCAGGGGAGAGAGGATTGATTTATTGGTTAGACTTGGTTTGTTAAAGCTAGTAAGTGAAGTAGGTGGATTGAACCTGGAAGTTCTGCCTGAAACTCTTGAACTTAATCTACCTAGACTAAGGGCTGTTCAATCTCAGCTTCAGAAGATCATAGTCATTTCTACCTGGTAAGTTTACACATTTGTTTTCCACTTGATTTCCCCGACTCGCTGTCTGGTTGCACAAAATTAGTGAAAACGTTGTGTGCTTATCATTATACCATTTTACAGGTCACTAGACTTACTTTTGCAACTTTACAGTGGATGGTTGAAAACTTAATGGATTTGAGCATTAAAAGTTTGCTCCATGCATGGTTTACTGGAGGTTCTCTTTGTTTGCCAATAGACACAAGCATGTTTATTTGCTTATCCTAAATTATGTACGTTTGTGTCTTTTGCAGTGTATTGGTTCTCCGTCAAATCCTTCTGAGTGAGAACTTGATAACCAATCCTCTGGAAATGGAGAAAATAGCATCCAGATGCTCGAAGCAGCTTTCTAACCTACTGGACACTGTTGAAGACGTTGGTCTACCAGAAATTATTGAGACAATATTCGGGGTTCGAGAAGACGATGATCATCTTCCATACCTAGAGAAACTCCACGCAAGGAAGCAGATGATGTCAAACATGGTGGGGAAAAGCCTGCAAAGTGACGACGTCATTTTTAAACGGGTATCCCGTGCTGTTTATCTAGCTGCAAGAGGGGTTGTTCTTGATGGAAATGGAGTTAAGGGAAAAGAATTAGCCGAGGCATCTCTTCGGCGAATTGGTGCAGCGCTTCTTGCGGATGATTTGATAAAGGCCGTGGAAGTACTGGTTGTGGCGGCCGTTGTCTCGTGCAATGTTCATAGACCATGGTACGAGGAACTGATCAAGAATATCTGATTTGTTCATCTGTAAGCGGACCACAAAAAACAGAAAAAAGAGTGTCGTGTATATAAACGTTGGTGTCTATTACTGTGGCAATCCGCAATCTCCTGTTATATGTGTTTGTATATAATATAGAAGGCAACAGTTGTCTCTTGTACGCGTGATCGTTGGAACGGACCATACTGACAATGCTCATAGTCGAAGTGTAAAATTTGTGTGTAATCATTTCTAGATTGGATCAAAATTCGACTCATTTTATAAATTACCTATGTAGTTGGTATTAAAACTTTTGAGTTGAAAATACAGGCAGCAGCACGCACTTCTTCAGGTACCGAACTTAGGTTTTCACTCGTTTTTTGGGGCATTTGTACTTTCTAACTGTGGTGTGGTAATTTTAAATTATTTTTGAGAAAAGTACACATTATTTTGAGAAAAGCATATTGTTTATCATGATCTTCTGCAGCCATATTATTTATGTCAAATAATATATTATTTTAAATAATAAAGTGTTATTGTAACATTTAATTTTTTTTATTAATTGAATGATAATTGTAATTTTTTTAATAGAGTGACGTAGTATTTCTGATTTTTTTCCTTTTCATATTAATTTTTTTTTTCAAGCGATTTGGGTCCTTAAATTTAAAAATAGTAGTAAATAAGTCCATTTGTCTACAGGGTTTAGACGAAATAAATGTAATTTTTTAGTGGGTGTGAGGTGCACCACTTAACCCCTTCCTGTAGTCCAGAATTTCAAGTTTTATCTTTAAAAAATATTTCTTTTATTCCATTTAATCGTTTTTCTAATAGTTAATTTTATTCCAAATTAGGGAGACAAACATCAATGTTGATTTCATTACACAAAGGATACTTAAATCCCAACAACAAATCGGTTCCATCACTATAATATAATGAAGGGGTAAAAACATGCGTCTATTTTTCATGACAACAAGATACAAAGACACACCAATAATTGAGCTCTCCACTTACTCTTTAAACGTCACCTCTTGATGAAAAACATCAATCAATCGAGATTAAGAGATTTATGTCCCGTTCATTTCACCGATTCGAGTTTAGAATTCAAGTTTTACTACAGTAAAAAATTCTTAAAAACAATCACATCTAACTTTTTTACTACAGTAAACAACTCTCACATAAAATCACATCTCAACTCAAATTAAAAACTCAAATCAACAAACTAAACGGGTCCTTATAGAATTAAAGTCATAAAACAATACCGCAAGAAAGCAAGTTTTGCGGATGGTACAGAAACAAATTATCAAAAAGCTGAGAGACCACCTCTGTTATAAACATCACACAAGTTACAACTCATGTAAACTACAAAACACTGGTGCGACGAAGATCCCAGCGCCATTATATTACAAAAATGCACAAATGGTGGGTGCTAGCCGCCCAAATCCTCCACCGCAAACTCTTCCCCGTCTCCCACTGGAAACCCCCTCTCCCACCGTGTTCTTATTCGACGAACAAGCTCTACTCAATTAATTAGTTTTTCTAATTTCTTTTTTTTGTTTTTAATTTTTCTTGTGTCATTTGGATGATTAAAACGAAAAGGGGTAGACATTTACGTAATCTGACGGGCCATATTTGATGAAATCAAAAAATGAGTTAGTTTTTGAATAAACCTAAAATACAAAGTATAAAAACATATAAATAAAGAGTAATTTTGATAAATATTCATTAAAAATGCGTGAATTAGAATTTTTATCCTTTAAAATTTTTTTTTTTTCATAAATTAAATAACCTAAAAAGAAGAACAAGCTAATGTTCGTGGACGACAAAAGATCAATACAATATTGGGAGAGTTTTTATTTATAAGGAAAGGTGGTTGTGAGCGCCGGCAGACGCAAAATTTGAAGCTAAAGGAGGATTATAAGTTCTACAATCCAGAACTAAGGGGTTATTCTTTTTCAACAAAACTCATAAAAAGTTGAAACTCAAGTTATAATTTTATTCAAATTCACGTTCTTTTAAGTTCTAACTTTATTCAACTTTATTCAACTTTATTCAAGTTACAACTTCAACTCAAGTTATAACTCAAATTCAACTCAAAAATTACACTCAAGTCACACTCTAAAAGAACAGACCTTTACTAGCAGTTACAATTCCAAGCTCTTTTAGTGTTACAATGGCAAGTTCTCCTTATGTACCAGCTTACAGAATTCCCATTCGCAAAAAAAACTGAATTCATATCCAATTTCCCTGTAAAATGAACCCAAAAAAATAAAAATAAAATAGCAGAAAAAAAAACCCAGCTTTCTACAAATTTTTTGTCCTACTTCTTCCGTGGTTCTGACTTTTATGGTGGATGTAAATTTGCCGAAACTATAGCAAAGTTCAAGAACCTCCATGACGATAATAGAGTGCGGTACGATAAAGGGCAGCAACATGAAAGAAGAAAATAAGCAGAATAATGAGATCATCCAGGAGACCAACTAAACCTAATATCCCTGCAGGAACATCCAAAACAACTAAATAAGGTACAGAAATGATAGATAGGAAAACAAATCAGGGACGAATTTTTCGACAAACATAGTATCAACGCATACCTTCTGGAATGAAGTCGAGTGGACTGAGTATGTAAACAGCACTTAGGATCATCTACACACATGAAGGGAAAGAATACATCAAAAACACAATACGCAGTAGCTTATAATGAATTCAGAGTATAAGAATATACTAATTAGCTTTGATATGCATTGATAAAACAATTCAGTAAAATTTTGGCCAATTCTGCACGTGTTTGTCATGCTTTGTTAGTGCTGGCCTATACGCGGTTCAACTATAGTCGCAATACATTCTGTTGCCTAGGTATGCATCTGATTTAAAGTTTACTTGGTATAAAGTTACTAAAATCAAGGCATTATCAGAAAAAGATGTGAAATATAGTACGGCAGTTTCACACACAAATTTATTCAGAGGAGAAATTGCATCCTCTTTCAAAATATTAAGCCCTCTTCAGTTTTACTAAAGATACCAGATGCTGCTTGTTGCTGACTATTATTTCTGCAAATAAAAAAAATGAGGGAAGAAAACACATAAGCAGCAAAGAAATTTGAATATCTGGTTTTAATGTTATCCCGTTAAATGTTTGTCGTCCAATAACTTTTTGTTTTCTTTCCCCTTTTTGAAGTCAAACTGGCCATCTAGCCCCTCTCTCGATCCCGATCCTCCCCCCTCTTTCTTTTCATCGAATCACCGTTGAATCTAAATTCTTTAATTCCAAAATAGTTGACGAAGCAACATCTGGGGATCATTGTTCTTAGCAGCCTAACACTTGAAATCCCCAATTTATTAGGTCACTGGGATCTTTGCTACTGTTTCTCACCGGCATACAATAATAATATCAATTGCAGTATCTCCGATAATATGTCATTCTTGATTTAGTGATCATACAACACTTGCAAAGAACACTAGAGTATGCACTGAATTCCTAAGCACCTTTGAAGGTTTGAGTCTCAAGCATGTTAAGCGATTTGCATAAAAAACATTAAAAGATACCGTAGACCTAACCAAAGCGCATGTTTAGTACAATGAAAGTTACAGTTCAAGCTGAAAGACAGGAAGTTAATGAACAAATTGTGAAGGTTTCCAAAAAGAACTCCGTCGCCTAATTTCAAAACATGCAATTACAGTGACAATGACTTCAGTTGTGTGTAGGCGTAATTGAAAATCCAGACATATATGCAAAGACGCTAATAAAGTAGTTGTGTCATTCACTTACTGCAATATAGACACGTGCCCTGATGACAAGGGGAAGAGATCTCTGAGGATCCATTATTTCTCGCAACAGCCTCCGTAGGAAAAAAGGTAGGTCTCTAATTCTCTGCAAAAAGAAAACAATACTTCAAATGTTAAACTACTGCTGGTGCTTAAACATAAATGCAACAGAAACATGAAAGGAAACTAGTGTTCATGGTCTAATATAATTCTCCTTCATACAGTGTACTGTCTGCAAAGAATTACAAGTTAGTTCATATCCAAATTGTTATTCATGAAAGATAGTAGATATAATCACCTGAACAAGGTCACGATCATGCTGAGCAAAAGAACGATTGTACCTTTCAACCTTTCCAAGAACTTCAGCAATATCAGTATCATTGCGCTGTCTTACGGAAGCCTCACTTGGAACCAATAAGGTGATCTCACGGCGACATAGAGGGCATCTACATGGCCGACGTACTGATGCATAATCCCAAACTTGCATGATGCAACTTCCTGAAGAAAAGAAGACAATGAAGCATTAGGTCACCAGCGGACCAAATTCCAGAGATGTGAAAATAAATTTTCCAATACACATGTTATGCATAAAATTTTTAGCTGTCACCCCCAAACTTCATTCTTTAATTCTTGAGCCATTAGTAAAGAGGTAAATTAAGTCAAAATGCCTTGTTTTGAGTCAGCTTGGTTAGATAACAGAAGATAAAGATAGGGAGATAACACTTGTTTAAACTCTAAGGAAAGTTTTCTTAAAAAGCACATTCTCCGTAAAAGATCCCTAAAACTACACTATAAAAAACTGATTTAAGTTTTTCTTTTTTGACAATAAAACTGATATGGTTAGTATCTTTCTTTGCCAGTTATAAGACTTATGGTCAACTTGGTTGTTTAACCCAGTAGCTTTGACTTTTACACGCACTTTTTGTTACAATGTTCCCCTTGCTTTTTGGCCTCCTTTACTCAAAGCTTACACAACTGGAGACACCATTTTCTGGCTTATCAGGATAATCTCCGGTCTTTGTTTTCATGACCCAAATCAATCATTTCAAAAGCTTTTAATAGTCCTTATTTTACTTTTAAAAAAAATAGTCCTTATTTTAAATTCTAGATGCTGAAAAAGAAGGAATCGAGTTTCTTCAAGAAAACTAGTCTTCTCTTCCATATTGAAATGTGGATTTCCCAAATTTGTACTAAATTGAAATCAGAAAAAGATCGCAGTGACCTTTGAAAAACATCGATAAAATAACTGAATTTCCTTTACAAGCTATAACCAACATGAGAGAAGGCTTAGAACGCTAGATTACCTTTTTCGTGAACTAATGAAAGACAAATAAAGAAATATAATGTGAAGTACAATTTGCAAAAAAATATCGAAAACGAACGACATTACAAATTCAACTGTGAAATGTATCAAAGCTCGGGTTTTCCTTAGGCAAATCTGATTCTTGATTACAGTCCCAGAATTTCAAATCCCTAAAGTATTGACGATGAAATTCAAACTGAGAATTGGAACAATCGGCATGAACGAATGCTATGAATTTCTTGATTTGAATATAGAACGTGAATGAAACAGAGAGAGAGAGAGAGAGAACCGCAAAACCAATGGGAGCAATTGGCTTGACAGGGAATGTTGAAGTTGTCATGGCAAATTGCACATCGATCGTTCTCTGGAGGAGCGTCCATTTTCACTCTCTTGCTCTCTCTCGAATCTGTCTGAATATCTCTCTCTCTCTCTCTCTCTCTCTCTCTCTCTAGCCTTGAGGTGGAAGAAAGCCTGCTGTTGTCTCCAATTGGGGACATCCGACGGAAAAACCTAAGCAAAATTATAGGGACCAATGTCCTAAACTTTTATTATTATTATTATTTTTTTTTTTTTCATTTTCTTTTTAACCTTCTATTCATCTCAATTTGACCCTAAAATATTTCAAATTGACCTGAGCTTTTTTGTTTTTTCAAAAACTGCAAAATATGAGAAATCAAAGTTAAATAGGTGTGCATCACGTGCTTGGTGGGTACGTTATTTTAGGCATATTGTAAATGCCTGAGACCCAAATGATGATGTTAATCGTTTCAGACAAAAAATGGTAACGTGAAAAGCAAAAAGAAACAAATGTCTTTTAAATTACACTAGTCTTAATTTTTATTTTTTATTTTTAATTAATATTTTATTAATTAAAAAAGTATTAATTATTAATAAAGCGTACAAATTTAGATCCGTGCATTTTAAAAGACAAATTTACTAATTTTCTCATGTTGAAATAAATTTAGGTGGAAACTCAAAAATCCTATAAATCCAATTGAATCTATAAATAGACTAAAGAAATTCTTAAATTCGAAATACTTGTATTGTGAGTTTGAAGGGGGAGAGGAAATTTAGGCCTAGTTCGTTTCGCTGATTCGAGTTTAGAATTTGAGTTGAGATGTGATTTTATGTGTGAACTTTTTACTGTAGTAAAAAAGTTAAATATGACTGTTTATGAGAGCTTTTTACTGTAGTAAAAAAGTTAGATGTGACTATTTATAAGAGCTTTTTACTATAACAAAACTCGAATTCTAAACTCGAATCAGCGAAACGAACGAGGCTTTAAATTTATAACTACTAAAAATGTCAGTAACTGATACAATCCCGTTACCTTTGGGGTATGAGCGAAATTTAACAATTCATAGGCTCAAAATAATTTACTCAAAAACTCTCAACACTTACAAGCTACTCAATTTGCTGCCATCACGTTCGAACACGATCAAGGAAGTCGGGGACTATATGTGGTTTAGGAAGAACTAAAGTAATTTCTTTTTGGAGAGGAGGATCTAGGGCCAACACTAGCTGGAGCATCGACAATAATAGTGTTTTAGACAACAAGACTTGTACGATGACAACGATCATAAAGTCTTCTCGATGTTAGTTAGAAGACACAAGCAATGTTTTTTGTCTCGAGAACAAAAACTAGATCTCCATTTATTTTACCGATTATAGTTTAGAATTCGAGTTTTGTTACAGTAAAAAGCTTTAAAAAACAGTCACATTTAATTTTTGTACTACAGTAAAAAACTCTCACATAAAGTTACATCTAAACTCGAATTAAAAACTCAAATCAACGAACTAAACGGGCCCTAAGTCTCAGAGACTACCATAATTTTGGGAGAAAGAGGGAAATAGGCCAAGAGTTGAGATTAATTAAAATTAATAGGCCAATAGTTTGCATAAGTTAATAAATAGGCTAAATTACTGTTTTCGTCCATAACTTGTCTGGTTATGAACCATAACTTGACAAGTTATTGTCCATAATTGTTCATAATTTGTCTGGCTATGAATCATAACTTGACAAATTTGTCAATAACTTATCTGGTTATGAACCATAACTTGACAAGTTATGACCTATTAATTTCTATACTAAAAATTGGCCTATATACTTTCTTAAGCTTTTTATATTGGCCTATTTTCTACTATTTTCTCATAATTTTTAGTAGCATTTTCACCTTAAAATTTTCATTGTTTCTAATTTTGGACTATAATTTATATAAATTTTATTAAATTTTAACACATAATTAATGAAAAGACTGAATTAAAATAAAATAAAATCTCAAGACTATTTGTGTGAAGTATGAAAAATTAAGAACTAAAATAGAATTGAGTGTAAATCTTAAAGCGTGAAATTAATCTTAAAAAAACAAAAAACAAAAAAGAAAGGAAAATAAAAAGACAGAAAGAGGCGAAAATAATCCAAAAAAAATAGAAATAAAAAACCAGGGTTTTAGCGAGGTTTGTGAGTTCCAGTCGGGATCTCCTCCTTCCTTCAATCCCCAAAACCTTTCATTTCTCTGGTAAGCACTCCGTTTCCTCCACTCTCTCTCTCTCTCTCCTATATATATATATATATATGTATATACAATCATATATAGTCAGCAATGGCTTAATGTCCACTCCAGAGAGCTAATGCCTAATACTCACTCCCAAATGCTTCGCCGCCTCCCAATCCTTAGTCGCCGGATTCTCCCAAACTCCATTTTCCCTTCCCCTCTCCCAAACCCCCAAAACCGTATCTCCCATGGCTTCCTCCGCCTCCTCTCCTTCGCTCAGGCGGCCCAACGCCGCCCTCCCGACCCCGACCACCCCTCCACCCTCATGAAGGAAGACGGCGTCTCCGTCTGCTCCCGAATGTGGATCGAAAACTTCCGAGAACCCGACCGAATCGTCTCCAATTTGTCCTCCTATCTCCGCCGCTTCGAGCTCTGGGTCCTCGCCTACCAGAAGGTCTGCGCCGACAACACCGGCGCCTACCTCCCCCGCAGCGCCATCCAGCGCCCTGCCCTCGACGACCTCTTGGTCCTCCGCAACGCCGTCCTCGACGACCGCTTTCGCTGGGGAGCAAGGCTGGAGTTCTTCATAAAATCGCCGCGGGACAAGACCGATTACGCGTCGCTGTCGAAGAGGAAGATCAAGGCCCTGCTGACGACGACGCAGCCGGCGCCGTTTCAGGACAGGATTGTTCAGGAGGTTCTGTTGATGATTTTGGAGCCGATTTACGAAGCAAGGTTTTCGCTGAACTCGTTCGCGTTTAGGCCCGGTAGGAATGCGCATACTGTGTTGAGGGTTATTAGGAGGAATTTTGCAGGCTATCTGTGGTATATAAAAGGGGACTTGAGCACAATCTTGGATGGGATGAAAGTGGGATTGGTGATAAGTACTTTGATGAGGGATGTTAGGGATAAGAAAGTGATTGATTTGGTTAAATCGGCATTGGTTACGCCGGTGATCACCACCAAGGAAGGTGGTGAGGAGAAGAAGAAGAAGACGAAGAGGAAGTATCAAAAGAAGAGAGTTCTGGCTGAGGATGAGCCGAAACCGGATCCTTATTGGTTAGAGACGTTTTTCGGGTTCGCCCCTGAGGAAGCGGAGAAGCTTCCTTCTTGGGGGCATTGTGGGGTGCTCAGTCCACTCTTGGCTAATGTTTGTTTGGATGAACTCGATCGGTGGATGGAAGGGAAAATTAAGGAGTTCTATCGACCTTCGAAGAGTGATGTGATATGGAATGCTCCGGAGGGGGAGGCGGAACAAGGGAACACATCGTGGCCGGAGTTTGTGCCCACGAGTGGTCCCGATAAGACGCGGAAGATGGATTACGTTCGATATGGGGGTCACATTTTGATTGGAATTCGTGGTCCTAGAGCCGATGCGGCAACGTTGAGAAAGGAGTTGATTGAGTTTTGTGATCAGAAGTATATGCTCAAGCTTGATAATGAGAGCTTACCTATTGAACACATAACCAAGGGCATAATGTTCCTTGATCATGTGTTGTGCCGGAGAGTTGTGTATCCGACTCTTCGTTACACTGCCACGGGGGGAAAGATCATTAGCGAGAAGGGTGTCGGAACGCTTTTATCGGTCACAGCAAGCTTGAAACATTGCATCAAGCAGTTTAGGAAGCTGAACTTTCTGAAGGGGGATAGGGATCCGGATCCACAGCCTTGTTTTCGGATGTTTCACGCCACACAAGCTCACACCAATGCCCAAATGAACAAATTCTTGTCTACTATTGTCGAGTGGTATAGATATGCAGATAATAGGAAAAAAGCGGTGAACTTTTGCTCTTACATTATTAGGGGCTCACTTGCAAAGCTTTATGCTGCGAAATACAAGCTTCGTTCGCGAGCTAAAGTGTACAAAATCGGTGCTCGGAATCTGAGCCGTCCATTGAAGGAGAAGAAGGGTCAATCACCGGAGTACCATAATCTGTTAAGGATGGGTCTTGTTGAGTCAATTGATGGGCTTCACTATACTAGGATGTCTCTAGTACCTGAAACTGATTATACCCCTTTTCCAAGTAACTGGAGGCCTGATCATGAGAAGGCATTGCTTGAATATATAAGGCTTGAGGACCCGAAAACTCTCGAGGAACAACGTTGCTGCATTAAGGAACAAGGCCTCCTTTTGCCTCAGGATTACATTTCAATGCTTGTTTGGAATTACAAAAGGAACGCTATTATGTTGGATCACCTATCTTTGGTAAGAAATGATGTGAGCAATAAAGAAAGAGGTCAACAACTGTTGTTGGGCTCAAACCAGGATTACAATGAGCAGAAAATCGAAAGAGATGAACTATAATGTAATACCATCTGTTGTATCTTCTTTTTGGCCTCTAGATTGAATTCTTTATAATTTAAAAAGGAGGAGAAAAAAAAAAAACAAAAGGCAAAATGTTTTTGTCTGTCTTTTGGCTGGAATTGTTGTAGTATTACTAGAACCAAATTTTTAAATCTGCTGTTCTCATCACTAGTTTGACTTGATGTTGAACGTGGTTACACTAAGCTACATGGTTCCATTTACTGCTTGACAGCGTTGGCCAGGTGACAAATTCTGTTTCAGATCTTGAATTTCGAATTCGATTGTATGTACAAGTAGTTTGGTTGAACGGACTTACTTTACTGATTTACTGTTTGTTTTTGCTATTGCAATGGCTGTGTCTGGTTTTGATGGTGCCGATGATCATCATCAGTTTGTTGTTTTTTCTTGTAACCTCTTTTATCATCAAACAGTAATCTGATAAACAACAGAAGAAGACAAAGTTGCTTTCTTTTTTTTTTTTTTTTTGAAAAGACAGTTGCCATTGTTCTATACCATGACTTCAATCAAGTTAGTGATTTGAATTTTAAATTTAAATTTTACGAGAAAAATAACTGACAAAAACTTTTTTTATTTAAATTTATTGTGAGAGAACAGAATTAAGATCATGAGTTTAAATCAGTGAACTAAACAAGCCTAAATCCATGTGTAAAACAATGTGAATGCTAATGAATAATATGAAAACTTTTTTCTGGTAATGTTATCTTAATGCTTGAAATGAGTAGATTCTTAAAGGAGCTAACAAGGCTGCACAAAATAATACAAACTGAATATTTTTATAGATGTTTATGATTGAGTCATTGAGTAAGTAGTTTAAAAATTTATCATAGCAGTGTTTTGGTTCTACTTGTGATTGGAAAAAAGTTGACAAGCATCAGTTAAAATTTTTATTATTATTATTTGCTAGATTGTTAAGACCAATTAAAAAGAATCAAAACCCAACCAATTTATAATCCATTTTGGTTTTGTTATAGTTTTAGCGTGAAAATCTCCAAACCAACCTATAGTCAACTAGTGGTGGGGTTGGGGGAGGCACAAGTGAGATTTATTAAAAAAAAAAAAAAAAAAAAAAAAAAAAAAATTTGATGGAGCAACTAGCAAGTGCCTGACATGTCCAGGCCCCTGTTGATCATCCATCTCAATTGATTAAGCAGAGTAAAAAATTAATCAACTCCGACTTGTCTAAAAAAGTTCGAGTTAGAGTATAAACCTCATCATCCACGGCTGATAAAAAAAAAATTTTGAAAACATCAGGACTACAAGGTACTCAAAATAAAACCACGAGAAAATCGTTAGAAGAGATAATTCATGAGAAGACAAAAAAATATATCAGTTGAGTAGCAGAAACATAAAAATATGAAACCTATGCGTCAACTGTGGTCACCTCTTGCCACTCACCATCAACAGCTTCTTTCCACAATGTAACATTATTATTCCCATCAGCCACAGCCAATAAGTTCCCAGTGAGTGACCATGACACCCTCCAGACCGGGCTCTTAAAGTCCTTCAAAACCTTGCCCTCCCACTGATCCCCTTCCTTGGCTACGGTCCATATGACCACCGTACCATCCTGCGAAGCACTCGCAATAGTGGACTTCGGAAGCCCCAAGTTGGGTGCCCACGCAACATCTCTCACCCAGTCAGCGTGCATTTGAAGGGCAGGGAAGCAATCCATCTTCCAAGTTCCGTTATACAACTTCCACACCTTCACAGTATTATCACAGCCGCCGGAAGCCAGCTTCTGAACGAGATCCGTCAAACCAGAACCAACTAGAGCACCAGGAGCCATAGATGGGGCCCATGAGACAGAGGTTACTCCGACAGGGTGGGCTTGATCTATCCTAGTGGTGTCCCAACCACCATCAGCCCTGGCTGTAAAAACCGAGATGTTCCCATCAGATGATCCACAAGCTAAGGAGAGACCAAGTTCATGAGGCGCCCAATCAATGGAGTTCACTGACGACTTGTGGTCGTTAAAAACATGTGCTTGTTGCCATTCATTTTGGTTGCCCTCCTTCCAGATTATTACTTGGCCATCATAGGAACAAGAAGCAAGGATTGATCCGAACTTGGGGTGTGCCCAAACTACCTCCCAAACAGGACCTCTGTGACCGCTCAATGTAGCAAGATGCTGAGAACCAGAGTTGTTGCTAACACCGATAATCTTGATGGTGGCATCAGATGAAGCTGTTGCCAGACGCTTTCCATAATAATCCATGGCTATACCATGGACAGTGTCTTGGTGACCTGTTTCAATCTTCTGTGGAGGCATTGTTCCTGATTTCTCTTCTTGTTATGACTTCTCTATACTCTTTCCTTCTATACCGTTGTAGGCTATCTTCTCTGCATTGCAAACTTGTCAATTTAAAAAGTTGACGAATCATAAAAGACAAATCTCTATAAAGAAAGAAGTAATAAAGAATCATAATCAGCAAGAGACATTGAATCCTTGGCGCCTGTAAATGCTCAAAAAGAAGACATCAACAGAAAACAAGGAATCAACAGGATACAAATCGCTTATCAACAGCTAAATACTTCTTAGCTAAGCTGTACGTGCTCTTTCTGAACCTTCTTTAAAAAATAAAAAATTAACATGCTAATAAGGCCACATGCTCGGATATTCCTATTTTGAATGGCTTATGTGGAGAGAAAAGGTCTTCTCAAAATGTTAACTTTCCTTTGCCGACCTTTCACAACCTATCCAAGTACACAAAATTCGTTCCAAACGTCATTGGCTCAAGTGCCTAACACCGAAATCATAGTGTTTCAAATGATATTATCTCAGATGAACCCAAAAGAAGGCCTTGGACGACCTAAAATCTGGAGCAACTATTGACAGAACTGATGGAGATTCTGAATTTTATCATATTAAGCATATATAAGGCCTAAACCCCTGGGGGTTGGCTCAATGGTGTATCACTTGAACTGCCTCAGGAAGCATCAGGTCTAAGGTTTGATTCCCATTAAGTGCTATCAATTCCTTGGGGCCACACCACGGGCCAAAGGCCCGAGACTTACCCAATCCATGTGAAGGGGGCACATGGATCCTATGGATTAGTCGGGGCAAAGGCTTGGACACCACGGTTATCACCAAAATAAATAAATAAATAAATAAAAAGAAAGAAAGAAAAAAAAAGAGGAAGCATATATAAGGCCTAAAATCTGGAAGAAGCATGGAAGTACTCACTCTTTCAAGTGCTTGTGTAGCCTACGTCTAATTATCTTTGGAGAGAGAAAAAGAAACAATGGAAAGAAAACATTTACAGTAAATGGTATTATTTATTCTTATAGTGGCTGTTTTCATCTTCAATGACCACCCAAAAGGGTCACACCGTTTCTGATTTCTCACTCCTGTTAAAAACCTTAATGAAACGTCACATAATTCAAATGAACAACATACAAGCTTTAGGAAACTGCCCTTCTTTGTCTGCTTTAGAGGGCAGTATCGCTCCATCCTCATATTGTAATACTTTTAAAACAAGTCCGCTTGCTCTATCTTCTACAGTCAATGATCAAACACTGGTTCCAATTCATACATCTTAAACAACCTTTTTTTTACTCCTCAGTCCTCACTTATCGTTATGACACAGTCTAACCAATTCAAACAAGATTCAACTAATTAAGAATCCATTGAAACTTTCCTTCCCTCTTCAACTAACTTAGATGAAATTGAACATAGTCTTAAAAGGTGAAACCGGGAATTAGGTCCTTTTGTATAATCAAGGTGAGGTGTAAGCATCAAGGCGGCTCAAGGCGTAAGCCTCAAGTAGGATCGAGGCGTAAGCCTCGAATGAAGGGCTTTCTACACTTACATCCCTTGTGTTTTGCCGAAATAAGATAATCAAAATAAATTACGTCAATAACCCTTAACATTAAAAAAAAATAATAATAAAATTATAGACACCCCAACCGTTAGCTGACCATGACAGAAAACCCTATTTGACCATTAAACATTTTTGAATGCCCCTTCCTACATCAGAAAATGTTTCTATCTATACAAAGTGCTGAAAAATAACGTATAAACACCCTTATTTAGCACCAAAACATGAGTTTGATTGATTTGTACGCTTGTAACCATAATTTTCACCCTAAGGGAAAGAAAAATGTTCTCAGTTTTTCCCGTACCCTTTTTCTTAAAAGTCCCTTTTCATTAATATTGTTGGATTTACACTTGTAATAATTGGAAATAATAGAGATGTTCTCCATCCAGCAAAGTAGCATACTATATAAAAATTTCGTCAAAATATGAAGACAAAAATAACAATCCAAAATAAGTCATAAACGAAGATAAAAATTACGTCTAAAATGACATAGTCTAATGTTGTGGCCACATTGCTTGCAAGTCTGATATTAAAAAGAAAAAAGAAAAAACAATCATCAAAACCAAACATTTCACAACACCATAATTATACCGATTAAAATCTAAAAAATATCAAACAATATCCAACTAATCACACAATCCAATTTTTTTTTTTTTTTAAAAAAAATCCTGTAATAAAACTGATATCAATATTCCAAAAATAGTAAAATAATCAACAAAAAATCACAAATAGCTAAACACACAAACTAATGAACATAGTCACAACATCAATTTTCAACAATAAACAGATTCCAAAAACACCAATGAAATACTAATAGGACTGTTTGTTATCTTCATTCTTAGGTTGCGGAATACGACCGTGCGGCGCCAAGATTCCTCGAGTCAAGGCCAGCCTTCCTCACAATCAAGCCATCTTCCAGGCTTAAGCACTCTTGCGCACATGCATCCCAATTCACACCTATGAGCATCGCTCACAACCAACTCTCGCATACGAGCAGCATGGTTGCATCCACGTGCTAAGGCCCAGCGTCTCCAACACTAGCCAACCTATGCCACACTAAGCCGCCCAGGTCATGTATCCGACGTTCCCTTCGTGTCCCGCTGACTATCGAGTCCCGTGAGTGTGGCTGACCCTTGAGCCAACTCACGTTGGGCTCCTCGTGTGCCTAGGACGCACCACGGGGCCCTTGGATGTCTCACCGTGTGCCCTGCGTGGGGGATTCCGCACGCAGACTGAAACCACATGGCAAAATCTCCCGGCCTTACGAGGCTTACGCCTCGATCCTCCTTAGGCTTACGCCTCGCCTTGATTATACAAAAGGACTCAATTTTCGGGAATAATGTATTATTGTGTTTGGTTGTATCAATCAATGGTAATTTAGTTAGCGTATATAATGTCGGCGATAAAAACTCGCTCCATCTATTTCTACGTAAACCTCTCTTACTAATAATTATGATAATATCATACATTTTCATTTAACATCTCCATATATTAAACCAAAATAGCCACAATTTTTTTTCTTTTTTTTTTTTTTTTTGTTACAATAGAAGAAGATCCATATCTGCTCATTGATGGGGAAAAAAGAAATAAGCATACTGATTATAAAGTTCAGTTCAGCCATGAATATAACGGATTCAACAAGAAATAGATTCAACCAAAGGCAATGGCCATCATTAACGAATTCAACAAGAAATAGATTCAACCAAACGCAATGGCCATCATTAACGGATTGAACAAGAAAAATAGAGTAATAGATTCAACCAAAAGAAAAATATACAAAAAAAAAAAAGGCTGATACGGATTCAACAAAAAGAAAAGAAGAAAAAACCAAGAAAATAACACCACAGATCGAAAATAATACCCACCTATACATCATCAGATTATGTTAAATTTGTTATAAATTTGGGGATAAAAAAAACCAGGCTGATACGGATTCAACAAGAAGAAAAGAAGAAAAAATCAAGAAAATAACATCACAGATCGAAAAGAATACCTACCTATACAATCCATCAATGCCACAAATGAGATTGATGCCGGTATGAAATTGAAGTCGAGATAAAAAATAATAATAAAACTAACAGATCGTGAAAGAAAAAAATTTTAACAAAAAAAGAAGAAAAAAGGAAACATACTCTGGTGGTGGCGGCACAGAAAAGTCCGGCAACGGCGTGGTGGATCGGAAGGAGGCGGCGGCGTGGTCGACGGAAGAG